GCAAACTTGTGTGAGCTCTCACTCCTGGAGGAATGACACGTACTTCATTTATGTAAACCACACATGGAAAACGAACTACATCTATATTGGTACTTTGCTACAAAACAAAGAATAAAGAAAGTTTAAGAAATGTAAAATGGAAACAACATCATGTACTCATACTCTTTACTAACCAAATTAAGGTTGTAATCCTAATAATTACAAAATTCATTTCTGTAATATGTTAAACACAATTAAACTAAAATATTTTTTTTCCTTCTGGCACTTTTCCTGTATTTAACACTTTTTCATAGAAAGTGTTACTGATTTATTTACATCATTAGTTCCCTTTATTTGCAAGAATCTCTTCAACTGCAACAAGTTTTTCTCTAACAGAATGTATGCTGGCAAGCGTAAAAACTGGAACTTAAATTATTAAAGAAAATTTAAGTATATAGCTCCCTTCTATCTTTTTATATACTTAAAACTTTGCAAACTTTTGATCAAGTTTATAACTAAAGAAAAAAAGTGTCTTTTCATTTTACACACTAGCAAAAGTTGTATTTCAAATGTAATATTAGAAATAATAATGATACTATGTTTTGCTAGAGCCGTACAAAAATTTCGTACGATGCTTATTTCTCCAATTTTTCAACATCATCTGAAAACCTTTTGCAAATAACATTTCTGTTTACAGCACAGAAATAGCAAGCATGAAGAAACGTTATGCTTCCGCACTGCTAGAAGATGTTTGAGCAAACCAGGAAGTAATCATAAAGTCACAGGGACTTCCCCACTGTAGCAGCCACCAAATTAATGCTGAAAGTCTCTTCTCACTAGATTCACTACATTAGGTCTTATTATATTTATACATCATCTCTATCATCTATACACTCACAAAATAGTAAACACAGAACAACAGTATGTCCAACTGTCAGCATATAAAGACTTTCTTGAACAGAAATTCAGAATCACATTTCTCACTGAATGTTTCCAGTTAGCAAATTGGATTAGCAAAGACTGCATTAGCAAAAAAGAAAAATAAAACACCAAACAAAACCAAACAACTGTCTACCAATATAACTAAAAAACAAAGCAATCTGCAGTCAAAAGTCATATAACTTTCATCAAAATCAGAAAGCAAAAGAAACCCCAAAACTACCAGCATAAGGCAATAAAGTACCAAGATTTGTAGAAAACTAATAAACAAAAAAATAGTCACACATAAAGTTTTAAGAACAACCTTTAAGCGTGCTCTTTCGGGCACACATCACTGTCATCTAATAAGAAATCCATGCACGTGCCCTTTAGCACACAAACACACCTTGCCCTAAGGGCTGACGTATTACAAGCAAGACGGCAGAACAACAGGCACCCCGCTACGCCAGGGAGCTTTATCAACACCAGCGGGGCGGCTGCAGCCTGCGAGGAGTGAGGGCTGTGGGGCTCTTTGCTTTCCCTTTAAAAAAGGTATACGTGTCACGTGGGAGACTCCGATTCCTGGAGGAAGGGGTGCTGGTGAGGAGTCCCTAGCAGCACTGCTCAAAGGCAGACCAATTCCTGCTTAAATGATATGGGACTATGCCCTGACAGCCATGCATCGATGTCATCAGCATGGCAAGTGAATCCAGTCTGCTTTCCCTCCAAAACAGAAAAAAAAAACACCAACTACATCAGAACTGCTCAACACATTAAACTGCATAGCTAAGCCAAATAAATAATTTTACTGGAAAACTCAGCAGTACTTTTCAAGAACTGCAAGTTCCAAGGCAAGACTCACAACCCATTTAGCTGCAGGATTACTGTAACATACAGAAGCCTTTCCTGCAACATGTAAAAAATATTTTGGTTTTTTTCTTTAATGAAAATTCAGTGTGGTTCAGGTTTGGAAAATGTCATTGGCAAGAATGAAAGTGCCAGAAAATATTATACACGGTTAAAAACATTCAATAAGAGAACCTACTGTCCTGGAGAGGAAGTAGAGTGGCCAGTGTTTCCTACACAGGGGAACAGCAGCGAGTAGCATTTCCTGCCCAATACTGTCTTAAACAGTAGAATTAAAACTATATGTGGGTCTCCTTGATCCTGGGAGCTAGAAAGGACTGCAGAAGAGCCTCCTAACACCTCTCCATGAACACAGCATTCTTCTAGCGTCAAATGACACCTTACGTTTTCCCCCTCACAGTCCCCATCTTCCACCCTGAACAACACAGGCCCTCGGGCAAACCCGCTACAACACAAACAGCTCCGAGGGTGCTCAGGATCCTGACAGCCTCGAAGCACGACGTTTGTAGGGGCTCCCACTGCTGAAGGGAGCTTGAAATGCTCCTTCTCCTCACGATGCACGCAGGCTGCACACAAATCCCCTTCCCTCGTCATCAACTACAGAAAAATGTTTGGTCTCTCCGAAGCGGCTGGGTACGGCCCTCTGCCCGACTTCCTCCCTTCCGCACCTCTCCAACCAGCTTTACCCTCCCCGTTCGCCGCCAGCC